AAGAATCTTTGTTTTCTTGATACTGAACTTCAATCCATATTGAAGGCTGCAGTCCTTGACGTTCTGCAGCAAGTGCCTCAGGTCCTCCTAAGTTTTGGCAAGCAAGGTTGTGTTACCTGCCTAGAGCAGGTTGTTGATGATGAGTCTTCCAATCCTGATGCCACACTCCTCCTCATAGAGCCCAGCCTCCTGGATAATTTGTTCTGCATATAGACTGAAAAGGCATGGAGATAGGCTGCATCTCTGGCGTACATCTTTTCTGACTCTGAACCATGCATTGTTTCCTTGCTCTGTTCTAATGACTGTCTCCTGGTCCAAGTATAGGTTTCGCATAAGGACAAGCAAGTGTTTTGGGATTCCCATTCTTCTCATAGTTAGCCTGTTTGTTATGATCCACACAGTCAAATGCCTTTGCATGGTCAATGAAACACAGATATTCCTCTGGTACACTCAGCTTTCAGCTAAGATCCATGTAATGTTGGCTATGAGGTCCCTAGTGCCATTGCCTCCTCTAAATCCTGCCTGCACATCTGGCAGTTCTCTGCTAATGTGCATGCAGTTCCATTCGGTTCTGGATCATTTTCAGCAGGATCTTGCTTGAATGTGATATTAATGATACTGTTCGATAATTTTTGCACTGTTGGGTCACCACTAAATATTTAATAGAATTTTTATGGTAGTAATCTCAGCACAGGAAGAAAACTAAACTCCCAAGAACAAGAGTTAACTATGAAAAGCGTGTTAGCAACATCGAAGATTAGGTGAGAAGTTTAAAGGGATAGTGAGTGTGGTAACAGTGGTGGAATACTTTGGAAACACATAGCAAAAATTCAATAAGGCAGAAAACAACAAATGCTGGCCAGAACATGGTAAGAACTTTCATAATCCTGATGAGAATGTAAAATGGTGCAAACCACTCTGGTAAACTTCAACGCTTTCTTTAAAAGGTGGAAAGACAAATACCATTTGTAATCCTTGTAATCCCACTATTAGATATATAAAGGCTGAGGTATATAGATATAGATAGATATACATACACACACACATCCCTGTACACTGCAGCATTCTTTACAATAGCAAAGACATTTTGAAACACATGCCCACCAACAGAAATATAGAGGTTACCACCGGGATTGGAAGAAGACTCATTAACAGCCTCCAATATGAAGATAATCTGGCTTGCCGAAAGTGAGGAGGTTAAAACACTGCTGCAGAAGACCAAATACCACAGCCTTCAATATGGAGTACCTTTCAACATTAAGAAAACAAAAATCTTCACCACTGGGCCACTAGCTAAACATCATGAGAATGGAGAAAAGATTGGAAGTGGTCAACCATGTACTTGGATCCATAATCAACACACATGGTAACAGCAGCCAAGAAAGCAGAAGACATGCTGTAACTGGCAAAGTCAGCTGTCAGGAACCTCTCCAAAATGCTAAAAGGGCAACAATGTCAGTTTAAACACTATGGTACACCTGATTCAAGCCATCTTTTCAGTTACTTCCTGTCCACCTGAAAACTGGGACAATGAATGACAGGAAGAATTGATACCTTTGAATTATGGTGATGCAGAAGAATAAGGACTATCATTTACTACCAAAAAAACAAGCAAATCTGTCCTGAGGAAGTATAACCAGGAATCCCCTAGAGGCAAAGATGGTGAACTTGGTCTCATACTTTGGGCAAGTTGCCAATCCTTGGAAAAAGACATCATACTGGGAAAAGTGGAGGATCAGAGAAAAAGAGGGAGATTCTCAAGACAGCTTCACAGTGACTGTAACAACGGGCTTAAGCATACTGAGATGGTGAGGATGTCACAGGATTGGATTGAGCTAAACATCAATCATTCATAGGGTCCCTATGAGTCAGTCAACTGGATCACACCTAACAATATACCACCACCAGAACTCCCTAAATAGATAAAAGATAAATGAGAATACATGAAGACGTGTTAAGCAGG